CCGACCACTCCTGACCACTCCCGACCACGAGGCCACCATCTTGCTAAGGGTCTGGAATGCTTAAGGGCCGCTCCCGACCACTTCCGACCACTCTTGACCACTCCCGACCACGAGGCCACCATCTTGCTAAGGGTCTGGAATGCTTATAAGAGCCACTCCCGACCACTCCCGACAACTCCTGACCACTCGGGCAAGGCCTTGGGCTGACCGCAAAGGCTTTGGAACTTACGGGTCACTATAGACACAGTCTTGGACTTCGAGGTTTATCAACACCCCTCCAGGCGATGTCCAACACAGTCGTCCTAACCCGCATGGTCAGCACCAGTGCGGCCTTCTGAAGCAGTCTAGCAATCTTGTTCTGGGTATCGATTTCCGGGATCCGCGTATCATCTCCTATCATATGACTCACATCAACTCGCAAGACCACTGCTCATTTTGTGTTGCAGCAGGGCTACTGACCGAACAATCGAGTAGAAATCTGGAGCACTTCCTGATGAGATTCGTTCAACTTAATCCTTCTTTCATCCGGCGTCCACCGGGCTTGCAGCAGACTCAGAGGCAACTATTCCCGGTTTTTATGTGGATTAAACCACTGGAATTGCGTGACTTTAGGATTTCCAAGCCTCGGCGCTTTGCACCCTCCAAGCCTCGAGTCTTAAGCATTCCGGGGGCTCACCAATATATATATATATATAACCAACACGAACGGAACATCAAATGGAAAAGAACATCAACAATTAAATACAAATTGCGGCCATATAGCTCTACTTGAGACTCTCTTGAGCCAGTAAGTCTACTCAGTCACGATGGGTTATGAGGCTTATAGTAAGGATTTATTCGTGGGGACAGTAGTAGGTCTAGTAGGTCCCTTGGGTTTCAGAGGTTTCGAGATGCACGTCGCGCGGCAAGCACGGGCAACACACGGCGCTTGAAGCTTGAGGGGTGCTATCTATCACCTTCAGGTTTAGGGGTTTTGGCTTGTTGCCTTAGGAATTCGGGTTCAAAGGTGTCAATGCGGATTGCATAAGGGTGTCCCTGACAAACTTGTCGGGGTCATGCGGATCCTGGACATGACGGTTTGCACACAAGGGCCTACGTGGGGACCTTAAATGGCGCTCTCAACGTTTTCATGAGATGTATTGTCACTACATGTCTCAAAATTATGCATCCTTGTTTTTGACATCAGTTTGGGGGGATTCAAGAAGAACCCCTGCTTCAAATGACCTGTAGTCTAGACTCCTAGTATCCCCCTTAATAACCCCTATAATAGTTCCCTATATAACCCCCTTCTTTGAGCTTAGACTATAGCGCAAATGACCACCCTGTATGTGGTAAAAGCAGGACAGTAGGACATGCCGGCTCGCCAGCAGACACGGAAAGCTTTGGACCGGCTGAGTTGCGTGTGCCAGTCAATTTGCAACGGATTACAAGCGTACCTCCCGCCAAAGGTACCCCCCAGGGTTTAAGGAGCTAATAAAGACTATATAAGGCTTAATAAAGCCAAATAGGTTCAAAATCTGGGGGGGGGGTACCTCAGGTGGCGGTACTATTATTATCCCTCAATTTGGCAACTCTAGCAGGCATGCCTCTGTGCAAATTCAGTTTGATCTCTCCGTTCGCTATTTCACCTTTTCATCTCCATACACCAATCAATGGATCCCCGTGTATATTTTTGCAGAATTGGGGTGCAATTCAAACCACTACCACAACGTAGACGGTCCAATTTGATAGTTTCCCAAAGAAAAGGGGACCCCAAAATAAAGACCTCAATGATATCCTAACTATTGAGACTCCCCAAAATGTACCCCTGATTTTGGGAAACCCTAAACCCTATAAATCCCTATATCCCCTATATAACCCCTAAATCCCTAAACCCCTGTAATAAAGGTATCCCTTATTTTTTGGGGAGCACTCCACTTCTGCTAAGGCAACGGCTGTCATGCTCGCGGCCACCGCAAAGGCTCCCCAGTACAGGTACCCCTCCTGTTTAGGGTTTAGGTTGTAGGGATCAGGGAACCATGGCATACATAGACCCTGCAGGGAGGTTCATGGGCTTAGACCCTATAAGCCCTGCACCAAATTCAAAACCCCAAATCCTAGGGTTTAGGGATTTAGGGCTTATGGTCTTCAAAGATTAACGTTTTGGGTTTAAGGTTTGGGGTTCAGAGTTTGACCCTAAACCTGAAACCCCGACCTGGATCCCAGCGAGCTTCGGCATCTTCAGCCCGAAGAATGGTCTGGGAACCGAGTCATTCGCATAGGCCTCGGCTGGTCAGGTTTCAGGTGTAGGGTTAAGGGGGTATAGGGCAAAGGGTGAAGGGTTTAGGGGGTAAAGGGCTTGGTTTAGGGGGGATAGGGTAACCCCAACAATGGAAGTGGACAAGAAAATGGAAAGTGATGCAACTGGGATTATATAGGGGTTACATGGTAATTTCCATCAAAAGGGAGACCCCAAAGCTATGATCCATATTAGGGGCACCCCGAAAACGTACCCCTAATTTTGGGGAACCCCTAAGTGCAGACTCTGTCTACCCCTATATAATCGATTATAACCCTAACCCCTACATCGCGGCCTCCATCTTCTTTTTCATTCTCCCATTATCCCTATATAACCCTATCCAACCTAATTAACTAGGGTAGGTATGGGGGCCCTATGAGAATCACATTTTTATGGCATCATTTTTTCAGGATTCTATGAGCTATAGTCTAAACTCCCAGCATTCCCCTTGGTCCCCTGAATAATGCCCTGCATAACCCTCTTAGAGGAGTTCAGACCCTAAACCTTATTTATATTACCCCCATTAAGGAATTTAGACCATAGCTCATATAGGAAATAACAATTGAAAAAACCCACTGTTCAGACGAACTGGTAAGCTGTGGACATACTTGGCGGCCTGCAGCCATGATCAGTTTAGGGTTTAGGGGTTTAGGGTTTCGGGGGTTTCAATAGAGCCCACATGTGCAGCACCTCCTACGTAAAAAGCCCAGCATCCATTTCATTGGCCATGTTCTTTTTCATGTGATTCTCTGTTGTAATGATTGCCAGATCCTTGTGGGTTACGCATCCCCGATTATAAGCCAGCCATTCTCTGCAATCCAACCCGCCAGGCCAATTTTTCCAAAGTGTGGATGCTTTGACGAAGTCAAATGGCCAAAGACCCGGATGCGTTTCTTTTCATGTTTTCAGTCGGCAAGAACTTCTCGGCCCAAAGTACGGCACCACTACACAAACCAAGGGATATGGTATTACAGGGAACCCCGCGTATGTTTCAGAAGCCACAAGGCAGCCCACAACAAACACCCATTCCTTGATTTCCGCAGCCTCTTGCCCTGACACTGATTCAGCCTGTTGTCCATGCAAGTGCTCCGACTTTCTCATCTCAGTTACCATTGCATTTTCCATTTTCTCGTCCATTTGATTTGATTCTCCATGATCAAGGAAATATCCCTAGACCCTAAACCTCCTAAACCCCCCTAAAACCCGGCAAGGATCACGCATGCACCCAATGCCTGCCAATCCACATACGCACAAAGCTGGCTTCAGGGTTCCCTCTAACCCCTAGACTTGGTAGGCATAGAGGCGAAAAGACAAGCCTCGCGAAAGAGCAACCAATAAGACCTGCGGAACCAAGCAAGATACCTCATCCCTTCACGAGAGGTCAGGGTCTCGAAGAATGGTTGGGAATCCAACTGGCAGTAAAGGAAGGACTATAGTATATTCGGGTTTGCAATAAGGCCTGCTGTGCATGGAAATCCCATATTGGATTCTCCGGAGAAGTTCGCCCTCATACCATCATGAAAAGCACAGCCAAGTTTCATATATCAGCAGAGCGCCGACGGCCAACCCAGTCAGCAAACAAAGCGCTTGCCTGAGAGTTTTACAAGCGGCGGTGAAGTAACTCGTCAGCTTCCACCAGCAATGCACGTAGGTATGCATATTTGTGCGTGTATATATACATGTGTCTATATATATATATATGTTCAGACCTTACTTTAAAAGGGAGTACTATTGGCGATTGTTCGCAGGTGGGTCGCTGCAAGAGTGACCCCATTGGGTGGCTGCTCAAAAACTGACCCCTGGCCCCTTTCTTGGGGTCTGCGTTATGGGCATGACGTGCAGGCGCACCCAAACATGGAGAAACAGCCACGTGACCAGAGCAGTACACCACCAGATAGCAGGAAGGGCCAAAACCCCTCCAGCGTAAACTGCTCGATCCATGAGTCGCCGGCACCTGACTCAAAGGGGCGTCCCAGCTAATATGGGAGGTTCTTGGACAACACTTGGCGTTCGGGGTGCCGTAGGAGGACCCTACTTCCAGAAAATGCCCCTCATGTTGCGACCACCTACTTTGTCAGCATGAGATGTGCACTATGCTTTGCTCAGGCAGACTGCACGGTCGCCATCACACATTTTTGGAACCGCAGCAAGCTCAGTCCGCCCGTAAAGCCCCGCAAGACAAATTCAAGGCATGCTGGTCTGCATCCCTCTCAGACGGGCTCGCTGCGTCCAGAATGCAAATCTCATGGCTCTGTCTGCCCTTCAGGTAGCGTCAACGGAGCAAGAGATTCCTCGTCAGGCCTGGCCACCCTCCGGGGCCAAGCATCATTTTGATTGCCCTGAGGAGTCTGAGGACCTGCAGGGCCCCTGTCACGAACTGGGGTCTGGCTTGGGCCACGGGAAACAGGGCAAGTCATGTAGCTGGAGAAGGAGCTTCTGCACAGTGGGCATTTCTCATCCCGCAAGGAGCGGAGGCATGAGTGGCAAACCGAGCAGTGGCGGCATGGCAGCAAAACAACATTCTTGGGTCTCGCATAGCATATCATGCAGTCGCTTTCAGTAGCATCCTCAAAGCCGTAAATTCCTTGAACATCAAAAGCCACATTTGAGTCGCAGAAGCAGAACTGCCTGATGACTTCAGCCGTGTGGTATGGCGAATTGCCTTCGTTCTGCGTCCGCGTTTGGAACTTCACCAAAGAAATCCTGGGTTGCTGTTAGGAACTCAAATTACGCTACTATAGTTGCGGGAACCATATTATCAATATACATGCCCATAAAGGTAACTTAAATCAAATTCCTTAACAGTAACCCAGCATCTGGCCCTTGGTTTCCGAAGCCGAACGTCCCTGCGCTTGCCCGGCACCACCAGTTCGACCTGATGAAAGCACCACAACCTGGATCATAGTAGCGCGAAGCCATATTCAGGGTTGAGGGTTCAGGGTTTGACTGGTTCTTAGTGGGGAAGAAGGGGATATACTATATAGGGATTACGTAGGGATTGCAATCCCTAATTCCCTACTAAGAACTAGTCAGACAATGGAGCCGTCAGATTTTTGATTGCTATTGTCACTTGTTTTTTGTTATCGCTGCTTCTGCTTAACAATGATATCCCGTAACACTCCCCAGACGCTACAAGGTCCCGATTGAGTGTCTCTCCTAGCGTTGCCAGAACATGGTCGCTTCCAAAAATATAGAACCCAAAATACTATAATCCTTGTCAGGGGAACCCTCCCCAAATGTATGGCATCCCTCATTTTTGGTAGGCCGCTTCATATCCTTATGCCCTTAAACCCTAAGCCCCCTAAGGCCGAAGCCCTAAATGTCGGTCTCTTCAAAAGTTCTCTACCGTGATCAGAACGCAGAGTATAGAATGCCCTTGCTCCTAAACCCCAAGCCCTAAACCCCAAAAGACCCAACCCACCCAAAAAGCCGACAAACACAAAAAACGCCCATGAACCCTAAACCCCAAACCAAATCTTGATAAGGTAGTTTCCCAAAATAGGGGGACCCCAATGTAGACCCCCAAAACACTATCCTTATTATAGGGACCCCCAAATGGTACCCCTAATTTTAGGAAACCCCCATCTAACCCTAAACCCTAAACTGATCCAGCAACAGCCAGCGGAATGATAGCTGGCTGATCTGCCTGGCCTTGGCTGGTCCGAAGCCAGGATGCACTCATGTCAAACTTCAGCACGCCTGGGTTAGAGTTTAGGGTTTTAAGGGAGTTTGGCTTTAAGGGGCTTTGGGGCTTAAGGGATTTAGGGGTGCTTAAGGGGTTTAGGGCTTTGAGGGATCTAGGGTTTAAAGGGGTTTAAGGGATTTAGGGTTGTTAGGGATTTAGGCTTTTGAGGGGTCTATCCATCTTTTAAGGCATTGGGGTTAAGAGTTTAAGGGTTGTAAGGGCTTAGGGCAAGGCAAGTTTCAGCCCACCTGCAATCATAGGCGGACCCCAGTATAGACCCCACACGACCATAGTCGTTTGGGAAATCTAATTACTTGGAGGTACCTACTGGGTTCCTGGAGGGTCCTGGGTTTAAGCTTAGAATATTGCCCAGTGGCCGGGGTGGATCAAATCGCCAGCGGGTGTGGAATAGCGCTGTCCCAACCCAGCTGGCAAGAAGAAATCCCGCGACTGCGCAAAACCTGGGTTGCTGTTAGGAATTTTATTTAAGTTGCATAATGGGAGAACCGTATCAAGTACTCTCTATACATATACCCATGGTAGTAACTTAAGTTACGTCCCTTAACAGCAGCCCGGAAACAGCTGCTTGAAGAGAACGGTGGATCTTCGTTTGCCTCGTTTGTGGCAGACTGGGCAGTCCAAGTGGTTCCTGAACTCTCCGCACTGCCTGAAGCAGCAGAACCTCCAAGCTCTTCCATTTCAAGGAGGGATCGAGTAGTCTCTGGGTTGGCGTAGGCTGTTCGGCCAGCCCAGCGGCCCCTCAAGTTTCTAAGTGCACTGCTTGTGCTGCCTCCTTGCCGCCTGCTGGACTGCTCGGGCGCCTGACTTCGCTGCACAAATTCATTGCAGGCCTGTGCGCTCAAGCCCCAGTACAGTCTCACACAGCACGGTGCAGAAGCATCTATATCGAACTCCACGCCGAAGCCCATGGGACCACCACCTGAGTCCTCCTCTCCCACCCAGAGGCAGCTAATGGACTCAGGGTGCACGTGGGTGGTCAGCTCATGCCGTGTCACTAGCTTCGGTGGCACTGTCCTCCGCAAGCGGAGAATCTGGTTGAAATGTTGTCTTATTAGCATTTGGAAGTCATTGACGTAAATGCTCATGGCCTCCAGCTGCAAAGACCGCGCCCTGGATAGGCGGACATTCAACTCTACTGCACGAACAAGTTGGTACACTACCTTTGCAATCCAGGCTGCCACAAGGCCCAGAATCCCAAATACAAAGACATTGTGAAAATCTCGCTGCAGCTTGTCTGGCTTAGATGGCATCTCCGTGGATGCCCATGCCCCGCCCCAGCTGGCTGCTATCCAAGCTAGGACGTGACAAATCCTTTGGCATTGCATGGGCGAGGTAGAAGCACAGGTGGCTACAGGATTTCTGGTGACTACATAGGCCTCCAGCCAAAAGGCCTGCGCAAAGCTGGCGACATGCTGGCGCAACAGCAATAGCAGCAGTAGCAGTAGCAGAGGCAGTAGCAGCAATAGCAGCAGCATTAAAACAATCATAGGAGTTACAGCACCATCAAAATCATTGGCCATAACAGCATTAGCATTACTAAGTAACCATCACAGTAAGAACAGCAAGAATAATGGCAACCCTGGCCCGAAGACATCAAGCCTGCAAATCATCTTGGGGTTATGTAGAAACAATGGGAAAAGAAACGTGGAAACCACTACACGATAATGGCGTATATATTCGGGTTAGATAGCGATAAGGGAAAACAACGTGGAATCTACTACATTATAGTAGAGTATATATTGAGGTTCTATAGCGATAATTTAAAACAAGATGGAAACTACTACACTACAATAAATACATGCTTATATCGATATATATATATATATTCAAAAGCTGAGCCAAGAAGCTTGGGGTGCTCGTCATGGCTCCCACAACAAAGCTACAGCATTCCTGGCGACTGTTCTCAGACAACCCTCGACTATAAGGGTTGCTGTTCAGGAACTTACGTTAAGTTACGAAAATGGAAAATGATAATAAGGAAACCCTATCAGTTAGTATATACCCATCGTATGGTAACTTATCTTAAGTTCCTTAACAGCCACTCGGTTGACAATGGCTCAGCCAAGAGGATGTATGCAAAAGGCTCGAATGCTGAGTTGAGGCTGGATCGCTTCATGTGTGCCACCCAAGATAAAGAAGTACTTAGTAGTTCTTGTAGTCTTTTGGGTTTAGGGTAATCAACAGTGACAATGGCAACACATCTAAGCAACAGTAGGATCTTTTCTCTGCGGCCTTAATGCCTGAACATGGCCATCAGCTTGCTTGAATGTGAGATTGAGCCAGCGGCGTGGACACGCAAGTCTCTATGCTGGAACGCTCGATCAAGCCACATGCTGAAACTGTCATCGAAAAGCTTTGGCATCGAAGTGCGCCTGCAGGATTTCTGGTGCTAGCTGGTCCTGCAAACGCGGGGAACCGCAAGAGCTGAAGCAACCATGGCACCATCCATCCACATATCCGTGTGCTAGACTTCCTTTGAAGAGAGAACGTCCTGGGGCAGCTGTACCCAGATTGGCGTATCCTCACATGCACGGGTGATGTGGCAACAATGTCAGCAATGAGGATCAAACCCCCAAACATGCAATACATGCCCGTACCAAATCTGTACCTGCGTATTTCACAGTTCGTATGAGATTATTGTTGGCAACATCTGAAATCAGTCGAGCACACCAATGAGCTTTGTAGGATGCGCGCCCGCGGCAGGCCCTTTAGGGACCTCAGCATCACTTTGCTCGCCTCTTAGCTGATCATGACAAACCAGTGCTGTTGAACGCATTGTGTCTTCATCGCTACTGACCAAACATGGAGAGGACCCAAGGCCGTACATCCGAAGAAGAAGTTTCACTCAGCCTTCCGCTTGTTTGCCACAATTGGGCCGCCTTTCCTTCCCTGTGCCTGTCACGGTGAGAAGCTCGAGACCAGTCACGCCAACTCCCATCTTGCACAACTCACTGCAGGCTTCCGAGATTCAAGGATCCCGTGCTGAACCTGCTCTTGCAAGGGCAACTATGCCTTTCCGTGCTGCTCTTGAAGAACTTCCAGTAATGTATCATGGTGGCGAACGGCAAACCTGATCATTTATGCGATCGCCGCTCCCTGCCTTGCCGCCTTTGTATCCGCCCCCTCCTCCTCCTCCTCCTTGGGCAGCTGTGGATCCAAATGTGAGTTTCTCACAGAAATACATGGGGAATACAAAAAGATTGAGGCCGCGGGCAAAGATTCTTCAGTACTGCCAGGGAGTGAAGGAGGCGAGTTGTGGCGAAAGCATGGCGTTCTATAGCGTTTGTTTCGTGGATCTGCTCCTTCATGCCCTGTTCATGAGGGACACGGCTCGGGGGCACAATTTGTATCTTCGAGGTTGGCCTAATATGAGTGATTCTACCGTTCCTTCTTCTGAACAAGTCCAAAGTACTGGAATAGGAGCAAAATCAGGAGTACAGACTATGCATACTTCCATGTCAATGACTATTTCCAACACAAGACTACTGTTTATTCGTTAGCGGACATGATCATTCTGGGGTGGTGGTGGGGTTTGCATAAGGGGAGCTACCTTTGAGGAGGACGTTGCCCTTGCTGCGTCCTTTGCCACCTGGCTGAGGAAGAATTTTCCGCGGCGCCGGCATTTCTACCTGGCACTCAACCCGAATATAGACCCATGATGAGCACCCCCCCCTCCTTTTAAGGGCCTAAAGATTAGGACGCCTATTATAATCCCTATAAAGGGGAGGTGGCTTATTAATCAGGAGTCTGGGTTAAATCTTAAACCCTAAAACGGGAAGAGCAGGGTTTCAAGGTATTTACTCTACACTCTAAACCCTAACACACTAAATTTTGAAGCCTATTGCAAAATCCAGAACCTAAGCCCTTACTCCTATAAACCCTATACAAGCTTTGTTTCCATGGCATTTTCAACTTTATTTTTCATCTGGTGCTCTATTATTGGGGGTAAGATCCCTTAACCCCAAACCCGGAAGATTGTACTAGTTTACGTGTTCTTTTGCATTCTCCCCAAGTGACCCCGTTATATCCCATATAAACCCTGGGCTGTCCGAGTCCCGCAGATGAGCTGAAAAGCCACTATTCTACATACCTGGGGGGTCCAAGTAGGGCAGCCTCACGACGGAACTGGAAGTTTCTCAAAACAGGGGACTTGAAGGCTTAAGGGAGCGTAGAAACATATCGGCTAGGAAGACCCCCCCACCCTGTAATCGTGGTATAACAGGAATATAAGGGGAGCCTAAAATTATCACGATTATCCCTTCTAGTCACTATTACAGGGTAGGGTTGGGTCCACCTAACATGTAGGAGGTATATGAGGAGTACAGAGGTCTCCTTTTTGGGGATTGCATAGCCCAAGTTTTTGTCAGAAGCTCCGGGGTCTGACCATCACTGTACAAAAGTCTGGCAAAGACAGACTTGGCATACATAGATTTCTGCATGAAGTTGTTGAGAGTTTTGATTGCGACTTTCATACATTCACTGCTCCAAGAATTCTTTACAAACCCCAGAGGCCTCAAACTTCACTGCCCGCAACACGTAAACCCAAAATACACTGATGCTCAAGGCGGATTGAGGTAGTGGAACCCGATAGATACTCCGACAGGTCCTCCCCATTCCCGCCTAAAGACCAGCAAATGAACCCTATACACCCCCGCCTAGTTCCAGCCTCTAGTGACTTGTCCATGTTCTTTTCCATTTGGTGCTACAACTGCTACAACACAACCGCAGTCCCTAATTTGGCCCAATATACCCCTAAATCCATTCATAAACCCTGCGTCATCCCAAGCTTGTTCTTCACTCCCCGTAAGTTCAACTTTTTGCTCCCGTAAACATCATAGGAGTTTAACTATGGTCCCCCAACTTGGACCTCATATGTTATATATATATATACATATATTATACACACTCCTATTTTCCTAAGAAATCCCATATACACTTACCGAAAACCATAATAAAACACCCTGCTAAAAACAAGATAGCGGGGCACAACAAGTTCTGAAGTGCGAAAACTGTAGTAAAGTCCAGTACCCTTTTTGCGTCTGGGCCCGCGCACAGCTAGAAGGAGCTTCCACCAAGTTCCCTAAACCCTAAACCCAAGTATCAAAGGACGCGAGAGCAGGCCTTCACCCTTTTTAGAGCCTCAGCATTGAGGGGCATGATTCAAGTGGTTGTCAAACTCAGGGTCCATGTTTACGGCCTCCGTAAGTTCAGGGGCCTTCACGCAAATTACATGAACCCGAAATCTGGAGTTTAATTTGACATATAATGCTTCTTTTATGGGGTATTACTGTTTACTTTGAAGCCGTCCAGTGATTCTGACATGCATCCAAAGCGGGCAGCTGGGGAAATCTAGCAGCGACATGTCCTGGTACAGCACAAAGAGGGGTTCCATAGGACCACAAGGGCCCAAATGGGCATTTCCAAGAAACAGAAACAGGGGTCCGCTTCATCCCACCCAATAACATTTATGTGGATACTAGTTCTACAGCTATGCAGAACCCCAAATATCAACCCGGTTACAAACTGTCACGTGGTGGGGACAGTACCAAAACCATAACCAACTTGCATGATGGCTATTCGGCTGGCTTACTGAACCCTTCAGACAGCTGTATGTTTTAGTGGTCGGGGGAAATTTTCTTCAAGCGGCGGAGTATTGAAGATTATATGCATGTTCCTTACCCTTGTAGCTTAGCCCTAAGCCCTATTGCCCTGAGCCATAAATGAATATGCCTGAGTGACTAACCCGACCGGTTGCCTGCCCACAGCCTTAGCTTCCGACAGGCTCCTCCACCATGGCCTTAGGCTTGATCTGCTTCGTCATTCCATTGTCAGGAATTCTATGCCAAGTTTGAGGTCCATCTTCCAATGATTTCATGCGGCCGCATCTAGGGTGTAGGGTCTATCTCTCCAAAACCGTTCTCTATTAGGTGTTCCAGCCCCTCTCCCATTACTTGCCAGTTGCACCATCACACGGAGGAACTGGCACGTCGTTGGTGGCACTACGGTCACTTCCTTATCAACTTGCATGGCTGCCCCTAAATTTCTCCCCTTGCACTAGGTGTCTATTCTGAGGGTGCCAGGCAGATGCACGAGGTCTGTCTCAAATCGTCCCAGAACAACAATGCCTACATAGATGTCGATATAGTTTTGAGAGCCAGCAAGGCGGGACGAAGGAATGCAGATGTACAACAGCCGCTACTATTGCACAAATCTGCTGCCAATCTTAATCGCACCAATGTTCATGCCTTGA